TGAGGTCCGTAAAAAACGTGTGAATTTCTTTTCATTTTTCATTTCAGCTTTTGGAAGTAAAGTCTGGTGATCCAGAACCCTGTTAAAGGGGTTATGGTGAAATAGCTTATTACATGGAATCTTAACGTGGTCTGTCTTTTATTCAAACATATCTGCTCTGAATTTTACATTGAGCTCTCTGGATATCATCCTCCTCAGGTCTACCCATACGGATTACCTAAATTTGCATAAACTATATATATATATATATATATATATATATATATATATATATAAATGGAAAGATGAAAATATTTTACCCTTCTGTACAACCTGAATTTCAACCTTGAGGTTTTCATCAGGTAACTAGGTAATTTATGTTTTTTTCACACACCCACCAATTTTCTTTTTAACAATATTATGTAACCGGAACTCTAGAAGGAGAAGGGGTGCAGCAAAATAACTTTATACACGTTCAGCCGGGTTTGTTAATGTGTCTGCATTTTGACAGCATCCCTGATCGGCCATTTAACAACTCTGCAGAACCTGGATGCGTTACAATCGCCAACTTCTCTTCCTGGCATAATTTACATCTATTACTGCTAATCCTACCAGATTTGACCCTTCTCAATATACTGTACACTGTACATCTCCAAACATAGTCTGCCTGTTCTGTAAAATACCTATGGTTTTATTATTCACATTATTCGGACAAATGTCCTCATCTTTGTCGCCATATTTATTACAACGTTTCGGCCATTGTACACTCCTGCCTTCTTCAGGTGGTTGGAATGTCGAAATGAACCCTTTATTTCGCTCACTGGGGTAGACTGTTCTATTAGGTTGGTGCAAAAATAATGACGTAATAATGTCGTTTTTTTACCTTAAAAAATACGTCCAAAAACGACATTATTACGTCATTATTTTTACACCAACCTAATAGTTACACGTGCCATGTTTAATGGATGTCAGTTATCAGATATCTCCGGGTATTCAACTCATACTCTTTGGGTCCTGTCACTGGATCTAACCAACGCCTTTATCCACTGAGGACATCTGTGTATGAATTTCTGGGTATTATAAACCTAATGTCTTCAGTGCTACCAGTGCTCATATTGCAATTTTTGCTGTTATCATTGCATGTTTTTGCCAGAGCTCATATTGAATTTCTTCTGTTATTATCGCTTTTCTTTGGCACTCCTTATTGTTCCCATATTGTATTCATTTCTATACTTGGTCGGCTCAGAAGGTTTTTGTGGCCTAGCATATGTGCTGATTCCTTAAGTTTACGAATTTTCCAATGGTGTTCTTTGACTATGACCTCAACCTGATCTCACAGAGGGTGGTGATCTCCCTTCTCTCTCCATATGTGGTCAGCCACGCCTGATTTTTCCACTTCCCCTCGTGTTACAGCTTTCTGGTGTTCTTGAAGCCTTACCTTAAGGGGGCGGCTTGTCTCCCCTTTATATTTCTTGACGTAGCTGCCCGGGATGGCATACACACAGTCTTTAGTCATGTTCTCCTCTATGGGAGGTCTTACTAGGGAGAGATATCTGCGAAGTGTCGTCAAGCTTTTGAAATTTGTCCTGATGTTATATGGACCGCAAATCCTTTGTATTTTCTCCGATAACCCCTTCACATAAGGCAGGCAGACTGTTTTCTGAGTGTTGTTGTCCTCCTCTTGTACCCGCCTATCCTAGTTTTTTGGGGCTGCTGCCATGTACCCAGGGTAGTTGTTACATTGTAGGGTACTACTTATACTGACCAATGCATTATGTAAAGTCTCTGAATTAGATTTAGAAATACGAAAAAGGTGAAAGGTGTATATATGAAAAGTCTGCTAATTAAAAAGCGATATAAAAAGATTGGGCCAACAATCTATCGAGCAAGATAGACATCTGGTAAGCTAATTGCTCATGTGCGTAAAAGTGTCTGCGTTACAACAGGGTGCGGTGGGTAAATTGTCGCCATTTTATATTTTTACTTTCGCGCATGCGCATCATTTGTTTTTGATTTTGTCGTCTGCACAGTAGAATAGTGTCAGTTGGGCATCGTCTATGAGAAAAAGAGGATTATGAGGCAATTCATTTCGCAAGGAAACGGCTTGCCTTCAAGCCCGGAGCTCCAATAGGGAACATTTCAGAGTGTTTGGGTGTCAATCTGAGGACAGTCCAGAGGATTCGGAAAGAGTTGGATAATTCGAATGTGTTTGGAAGTGATCAATAGTGATGGCGACGTTATGCCTCCATTCGTCTTGCCTCGGGGCCTCAGACTCAGCACGGAGGCCTTGAAAAGGTAGCGCTGCCCTGGGTCAAAAGGGTGGCTTCTAGAAAACACTATGTCTGGTAACAGGACTGTGCACCATGCCACTCAAGCAGGAGAAACCACTCATGGCTGTCAGACAATCTTTGCAATCACATCACCCCTTACATCTGGCCCCATAACTCCTCAGACTGCGACCTTCTTATTATTATGTGTGGGTCGCAGTTGAACGAGAGAACAACAAAACTCTTTGTAACACCAAAAATGAAATGAAGGCAAGAATTATGGCAGCATTTATCAACTTAAACAAGGAGACCGTCCAGAAGAGTTGCAAGAGATTCCGAAGTGTTTTGGAGGCTGCGGTTACAACCAATGACGATTTTATTTAATAAATTTACTCTTTAGCATTTCAAGATATTTTTGTGTCATTTTGGTGAATATATCTGTTAAATTTAGATATCAGTGTTATTTTCATATGTGACTCATTGAGACGACAATTTTTCCATCGCACCCTGTATTTAGCAAATGACATTGATCTTAACCATTAAAAAGTGATCGAAAAGACGAAAGGAAAATTCTTGTGTCTGTTGCAACTAAACTAAACTCCAACGTGCGAACGGTCATCAACATTATAATTAAAGGCGGGAATAACATCACAGATGCTTGTGTCTAGTCTTGTCATGGCTCGAATCTTTTCTTTTTCCTTTTCTCTGTTTTACTTTGTCTCTCATAGTCTGTGGCTGTGTGTACAAAAGCCTTTACTTACGCACGTATTCTCTTTAAAACAAGAGAAAAAAATCAGACAGCAATAATTGGTTTGATGTAAAAGAAAAACACAATGATTATGTCGTCTGTTTGCGAAAATAAAGTAACTTTGAGACAGTGTCGTCTTTAATTCCTTTTGTCTTTTAATGTCTTATATACATACATGCACAAACACACACACATATATATATATATATATATATATATATACATATGTATGTGTTTCTACGTGTGTGTACGTGTGTGCATTTCAAAGCATTAGTATATATATTAAAGTTTTCAATATGAAAATATGATTGTATAAATGAGAATATATATATATATATATATATATATATATATATATATATATATATATATATATAAATATGTATGTATATATAAAAGTAAACATTGAAGAGGCAACAGGCGATTGCGTCTGGAATGAAACAGCCTGTCGCCTCTGAGTGCTGACTTCAATTTTCACTTTTATATTTACATACGCTCTATCTCTGATATTCAGCACTTTAGCCCATAAATATAGCACAGCTTAAAACTATATTTCTTTATATATATATATATATATATATATATATATATATATATATATATATATATACACGCCTGTTAAGCATGTCTACATTCTTATATATTTCATATGTAGTCATCCACAGGCAAACTGTTTCGCTGTATCACAGCTCCTCTGTGTGGCTAGACATGCGATTGCTTAAAGTCGGGATCGAGACCCGATCGATTTGACATCGGACAGAGACTTTCACGTCATGCCATCAACTCCCGAAACGGAGAAAGAGAATTTTTAACGCTTTATATACGAGATGTATGCATTACCGGCTACCAGAGTTCTCACTTCATAGTGAATATGTGTATGTGTAAAAATTCTCAGATAAATTATCCGTAGAGGAGACAAAATGAATAAAAAATGACAAAAGTAAAAACTTTTCTTAGAGTTTGTGACTTGAAGAACTTAATTTTCAGCCGGAATTGGAATTTCGAAACAAATCGTTTTTTTTTTGGTCGGAATTGGACACACAGTCCGCATCAGAGTAAAAGTTAGGTTTTGAAATTCCATAGAATGAATTGAAGAATTCAAAGTTATTTCTTCAAAATTATCATTGCTGTTTTCTAAGCTGGCCTAGAGGTCCTTTAATTTAGGGACGGATGCCCAATTATCCCTGCACACGAGCTAACTGTGCTGTTCAAAGCTAGAAAATATAAATACGCTTGTTATCAGATCATTGGTAAACCCCTGCGCAGATATTACCACAAATTATGGAAGCACCTCCAAAAATCAAGATCTAGCTCTAACAATTCAAAAGGGGGAGAAACTTATTACTAACTTTTAATATCTCAGAGGCCAAGCTGTTTTTCTCATTTTCTCATCATCAATCACACAGAGTTTTCTCTAGTCGCAATGAACGTCAATTCTTCTTATGACAAACCTTATTCAAATTCACTCCGAGTCTCAAGTGAAATGCATATATATAATCCGTTGCTAAAGATACTGGAAAATGTTCGTCTCTTTGTTCCTCTCCAGAAAATTAATGATTCAATCTGCCTTGTTTTGTTGTAACAGATTAAACCAGAAATGGACCATTCTGCCATATCAAGAGTAGAACTTTCCAATCCTCACTTTTTAATCTTGGTAGGCAACAGAGTTGCTTTCGCGGCTTTGTGGAAGATGGCATTTTTCATTCTGCAACCTCTTTCCTACAGCCGCAAAGTCGAAAGCCTCTGTCGTTATTTCCATGGCAAATGTTTAAACGTTTACAGCCAAGACACGCCATGATACATCCACGCAGTCAACCATTCTCATCCTCACCCATATTCCAATTGTAAGGAGAACGTTCCATACAAGCAGCACTTCCCCAAGATTCTATATTCTCAAATTTGTTGCTTCATATCATACACCTCATCCTGTAAGTTTCTTGGGTCTTGTATTGGGTGAACAAACATTACTATATACATTATATTTTTAGTGGGTACATGTATGCGAGAAGATATCTATCTATCTATCTATCTATCTATCTATCTATCTATCTATCTATCTATCTAAGTATGTTCATTATCTATCTATCTATCTATCTATCTATCTATCTATCTATCTATCTATCTAAGCCCTTATACGCATTTTTATCATTTTGTCCCGATCAAGGACACTAAAATCTTAACATTTTCACGTCAAAATTCAACCGTTACACCAACTGTACTGTTTGGGTAAAGAGAAACTCTGAGAAGTTTCACCACGGAATATGTGATCGAGCGGCGCTATATCGAGTCTAATTCGTTACCTCTTCATCACCGACGCCCGTTGGTACAGTTGATATGGCGTTTGCCTCCTATCGTAACTGTTCAAGTTTCAATTCTCGGTAGTGGATACGAACTGCTGATGAGTCCCAAATATAGGACGAAATGGCCGTCCAGTGTTTTCTGCACTCTGTTGAGGTTTCTTCTAGACTCGATGAATTACTTAATTATGATATATATATATATATATATATATATATATATATATATATATATATATCCCTAAATAAATCTAATAATACGGAATAAATATGCTAGAGAATAAAGATATTCAGTTGATGCTGTCTTTGAAAGATACATTCCTATATCTGCAGAAAATAGCACACGCGCGAGGAGACACACACTCACATGAATGACATTATTATTTTTGGATTCTTTTTTATATAAAAAGCGAGATCTTAAAAATGTTTAATATAATTTTATGTGACGATAAGGTCTGTTTATTCAATTAAAAAAGAAAGGTAAAATTGCATAACGAGTTGAAAAAGAGAGATGGCTGAAACATATCGTTTTTGGATATATCATAAACCAAGTGTATTTGTATAAATTTTTTCCATGATGTCTGTGAACTTTAATTCCTCTAGTACAAGGAATATCGTCACTATTCCATTTTGTTGAACAAAAAATATTATAAAAGTTTTTATATATTATAAGTATAATATAACTACAAACTCATACTGCGTATAAACAGATGAATAAGTATTCTCTTTCCCGCCTCTCACTAAAGGCACGCGCGCGCACAAACATGTAGACACATATACAGGGTGACTGAAAATTAACTCCCTATTTGATGTATGCGTGGCTAGCCAGGAGTCGTGACTTAAAACCCTGTGACTTTTTCCTTTGGGATTGGTGAAAGTGAAAGGGACAAGTCTACTGTACGAAGCCATGACGAAGTTATGTCTTCCATCGCACAAGAATCCCCGGTGAAATCAGTTGACGCAATTCCTGGGTACATCAAGAAGCTTGTAGCGAAACCTGGTGCCTATATCGAATTTTAAATAAAACCTATTTCTAAACGCTTTCCTCTCATATACATTTCTTGTAAAAATTATCTATCTATCTGTCTACTATCTATATTTCTCATGTTGTCTGTCTGTGTGTCTGTCGTGGGCGTTGTTACCTCGCCCAGGCCGCATTTCTCAACCGATTTCGATGCGGTTTTCAACACAAGTTTGCAAATGGCTGCCGAAAGGACATGACGGAGCCCGATTTTTGAGTTCGGAATCAGGTTCCGAAAAAATCGATAATCGAAAAAATCGATAACCGAAAAAATTCTGCTTACAGAAGGAATGATCGCATTTCAACCAAATTTGACACCCTCTTAGAGTCTACCATTGGAAGTGTTGTCCAGAAGTTTCATGACCACGGACCCCTAAACAGCGCGGAAAATCGATAAAACCCAAAAACCGATACGCCCAGATTACGGCTGAACCGCATGTCGGTTTTTAGCGAAAACCGAGCGGATTTATGAAGAGGCCATTGGGAGTCATCATGTGAAGTTTCAACTCTGAGCGCCTCCCCCCAAACAGAGTGCAAATCGACAATCGGTCAACCCTTAAAAATTTTTTTTCCGGTTTTTTAAAGCTGATCGTATTGTGTTTATTTTGTTTAGTTCTTTTTTCGTGACAGATTTAATGTTTACTATAGAGCTTAGAAAAAGTTGGCAGTGTGATATAGGCAAGAAGTAAGGCATGTAGCAACATCAGCACGGCAAAGGGCACTCCTCTAAAGGCAAGGAAGGGCAAAAATATTTTAAGTCAGGTGATAGCGATTGCTGTAATAGTGGTATTATTTTTGAATCAAGCAGGGGCAACGCCGGGCCATGCTGCTAGTAGTTAATAAATAAATTATAAGTATTTTAATGGGGACTTACTTATCAATGTTCCTGTATATTTTTAATATAATTAAACATATATAACCAACATTAAATATTATAATATAAAATATATAACATATATATATATATATATATATATATATATATATATATATATAATGTATATAATAATAATATATATATTATATATAATAATTATTTTATATATATATAATATAAAATGATAATGTTATTATAATCTAATTATATATATAATAATTATATACAGAATCTTATAATATATATTATATATATATAATATATATATATGATAATAAATATATACATATATAAAATAGTATAATATAATGTTGTGGAGTTATTTCGCAGTGGAGGTTTGTATTTGTACTAAGTCGGTCCTAAAATAGGTTCGACGTACAAAACGTTAGGAACTTGATATAATAGGTATTACGCAGAGTAATCTAGTTGTGGTCGCTGATACTTTCGTATTCGACTAACTGTCGTCCGACATCGACTGACTGACTGATTGCCTCCCTGGTTACTCTTACTACTCCTACTTATTATAGGTGGGTGAGTCTATTAACTATAGAATAGGTGTGTTCCACCATAACATATAATATAATATAATTAATATTAATATGTATAATATAATTTAAAATATAAAACATTTTTGTATGTGTATATGTATGGCATTCATATGACAGATATATGACAAATTTTTATTCCCGAGTACTCTATGCAATTGATTTGCTTCTCGAATGTTGGATTAATTTCCCACATGCGATCACACGTCAATAAACGCAGAAGAAATGGCTCTGATTAAAACTAATACTTGTGCCATCGATGTATTAAGACTGCCAAAAACTCGGGTGATCGAAAACCTCACATGAAAATATATCAGGCTGTCTATGGCCTGACAGCAATTATTACTCGTAACAACAATTCAGTGTGTAATTTTACCCTTTCCATCCGTAAACGTATATGCAAATCTCAGGATTACAAGTTTTCTTCGTAGGCGAACAATGATTTATCGTACCCTTGTAACATTTCTAGGTCCAAAATAATAGACAAAAAATGTCCTACTGGATAAGGAGTCCATTGGCAATATATATATATATATATATATATATATATATATATAGAGAGAGAGAGAGAGAGAGAGAGAGAGAGAGAGAGAGAGGATTCGTGTACACGGAATAGATTCCAATAACCAACAAATAGTATTCTTAAAGGAGTGCTCAATACAAAGTAGATCAAATATAATCATTTATTCGAAAGTTATAACATAAAAATGTTATAAAATCACTACAAAAGTAGCCATTTTGTTTCAACACTTCTGGTGTCCTATCAAGTGAGCATCACTTATGTTATAATTTTCGAATAAATGATTATATATATATATATATATATATATATATATATATATATATATATAATTCATGAATCATTCATACAAAAAACAAATATAGAGGTTAATGATTTAAATGGCGAGAATACATCTTCGCGAACAATATAAATAATATACATCAACCCCGAACCTGTATATGAATGATATGATCCCTGTTCATAAATTCCAGTTGCATAAGGCTTTTTAATTTTTACAAGCTTTCGTCTGTTCTTACAGACATCCTCAGGTATAGGAAATAGATTTTGTTCTTGTTTTTACTTCTCGGTAATAAGAGGACAACGAAAATAGAGATGTAATCCGAAAAATGCTATGAGAAATTACTGTAATTATTGAACAATATAGTTCATGCCACATAGACGGAAAATCTACCAGTAAAAAAGAATTCTCTTTTGTACAAAAACGCACAACCTTAAACTTTAAATTCAAACTCAGCTTTGCGACCGCACGTTCCAAAACAATAACAATTCTCATTCTCTTATATTGTTTGCGACGAAGTATTCTCGCCATTTAAATCATTAACCTCTATATTTGTTTTTTGTATGAATGATTCATGAATTTATAAATTATAATTTGCACCTTTAATTGAAATTATATATATATATATATATATATATATATATATATATATATTAATTATCAAACACTTAAATTACCTTAGTAATAAGCTTTATTCCATGAAAGCTATAAAAGTAACATTAATTTTTTTAGACCTACAAAGTATATATATATATATATATATATATATATATATGAGCAAAGATGTTAGTTTTTCAGTATTTTTTAAATTAACAACGCTCATAAACATGTGAGGCTAACTGAGATCATGGCGAATTATGGATGATGCTAAGTGATGTAATTTAATATCTGATAAACGAAAATGAGTAAATATTGTTAGTGTTGAATTTTTATATAATATAATTATTATTTATGTCATTTTAGTCCGAGAAATTAAGTTATATCTTATACATTTTAAATAATAGGAAATTTTGAATTTAACAATTTTCTTTAAATTGTTATAGTCTGAATGAATACTTGTTGTCTAAATATACTATGTATGTGCATATATATATATATATATATATATATATATATATATATATATATATATACACTCACTCACACACACACACACACACACACATATATATATATATATTTTCTTAAAATTGTAATTGAGATACCAGTAGTTAATTATGATTTTGACCTACGAATTTTAAAATTTAAAATTAGCAGGATTTTTCAAACTGTTTACAGTGTCTGTTTGTATCTTTATTACAATTGTACGAAAAATTTTGCTCTGTTTAATGAAATAAACATTGTGCGCTCTTTGTAAGTCAGTTTTAACATTTAATATTTCTTTCTTTCTTTCTTTACTGTTTTTACTTACTTTCGTCTTTTCTTTCTTTCTTTCTTGTTTCTTTCTTGCTTTCTTTCTTTACTGTTTTTACTTTATTTTCTTCTTTTTCCTCTGTCTTTCTTTCTTTCTTTCTTTCTTTCTTTCTTTCTTTCTTTACTGTTTTTACTTACTTTCGTCTTTTCTTTCTTTCTTTCTTGTTTCTTTCTTGCTTTCTTTCTTTACTGTTTTTACTTTATTTTCTTCTTTTTCCTCTGTCTTTCTTTCTTTCTTTCTTTCTTTCTTTTTCTTTCTTTCTTTCTTTACTGTTTTTACTTACTTTCGTCTTTTCTTTCTTGTTTCTTTCTTTCTTTCTTTCTTTACTGTTTTTACTTTATTTTCTTCTTTTCCCTCTGTCTTTCTTTCTTTCTTTCTTTCTTTCTTTCTTATTTTCACCTTTTCTTCTTTCTTGCTTTCTTTCTTTCTTTTCTCCTTCCTTCCTCCCTTCCTTCCTTCCTTCCTTTTTGAACGTCTTTACTTCCTTTTTTGTCTTGCTTTTCTTTCTTTCTTTCTTTCTTTTTCTATGATGTAGGAAAAGCATAAGGAGGAAAATGAAGAAAAATAGAAAGAAAGGAAAAGGTGTTCTATGTCAATCTTTTCCCCATTAAAAGCACTTGGCTCTAAATCCGTCATCAAGGCTTCTTCTGTCTTTTGTTTTTTTTTCATCATGTCATATTTTTGTTTCGTTCTTAGCCAGAAGAAAAGATGTGCCGAAGACAGAGAATACGGCAGCTTCAAATGTCAAAATATCTTTAGTTGAAGCGGAAGATCTCAAATATTTTCTGTCATGAAACAAGCTAAGGATTAGCGAAAAAACAAAACAAAACAAAAAAACAAAAACAGCAAAAAACAACAAAATAAGAGAAAAAAGAAATTTAGTTGAGGAATTCGTCGAATAGTTTCAAAAAGAAGAATGCCTGAAACAACTTCGACTGTCAATAAACAAAACCACGCCTCATTTAGTTATTTAGAAGATTTCGGAAAATATATATTTTGTTTATAAGCATTTATTATTTTTGTATATAAGTGCACATACATATATCCATACATCACACACATACATACACACAAATTTAAACATATATATATATATATATATATATATATATATATATATATATATATATATGTGTGTGTGTGTGTAAAGAGACAAAGAAAGATATAAATAATATTTTGAGTTATTTATCTAATAGCAGGAAAATGCAAATAATATTTTTCTATATGTCCATTATACGAAAGGAAAAAATATATATGTATGTATGTATGTATGCATGTATATATGTATGTATGAATGAATTATGGGCGCGTGGCCGAGTGGTTAGAACGTTAGCTTTCTGACTATGAGACCCGGGTTCGAATCTCACCACGGTTGATTTGTCAGGAACTTATCAATCTGGGGTGGGGGTGCCTGAAAACCCTACCACGGGTTGACCGAAGCCTTGAAAATTGGTAAACTGAACACTGCTGTGATAGCAGGAAGTCACAAGTGCTGGCCTTGTTCAAATTAACACGCTCTAGATAACACGCACTCTACCAGAAGTAAGGTCTGCTCAGCATAGTTGCAGTATCAAAGTGGGTATTGAACAAATACGAATATGCCTGAGCGTGCGTCTGTAATAGTATTTGGCTAACCGCCCTAATAGACAGATTATATATTAATTTGAAACTGTGGATGCTCATCGTGCTGCAGTTTATGCATTCTGTGTGAATATCCCAAGCACTCTCATGAAGAAGTTAATAATGAGTATGCCAGAATGAATTTTCGAAGTAACTTTCCAGAATTATATTTCAGATTTTAAAATAGCTAAGGATAAATTTTTGACAAAGTTCAAACAGGCAAGCTTGTTGAACTTCAATGACGTGGTCTTTCGCAACGAGCTATTGCAAATGAAATTGGTCATAGCATAACTGTCATTGCTCACTTCATTAAAAATCCAGATGCGTATACTTCTAAATAATTAAGCGGTCGGCCCAATAAAATTTCACCATCACTTGACAGACGCATTAGGCTAGAAGTTAAGAGAAATTGAAGCCTAACATCAAATCAGATAAAAGCGTTTACAGATGCAGAATGCAGCTTTCAAACAATTCGACGGCATTTAAATAAGAAAGGGTTTAAGAACATGAAACGGCTGCAAAGGCCTAGCCTTCTTCCTCGCCATAAAACATCCCATGTACAGTTTGGTTCCGATTATCAAATTTGGGATGTGGATAAATGGAAGAAAGTGTTTGTTTTCAGACGAGAAAAATTCAACCTTGATGGCTCAGACGGTTTTCAGCGTTACTGGCATTCCAAAGATGTCCCAAAAGAAATTTTCTTAACACGACACAGTGGAGGTGGTTCAGTTATGGTCTGGGGTTCATTTTCGTGCAATGGAACTCTTGAGTTACAGGAGATAAAAGGTCTTCAAAAAGCTGCTTGTTACAGTGACATCTTAAAGGCATCACTAATTACTGAAGGCCCTCGTCTATTTGGAGAAAACTGGATTTTCCAACAGGACAATGCTGCAATCCACAACAATCGAAGGAGTTTTTTTCTGAAAAAAAAACAACAAAAAACACTCAGCTTTTGAGCCATCCATCGTGCTCTCCGGATCGAAACCCAATCGAGAATGTTTGGGGATAAATGGCGAAGGTGTTCTAAACATGGATCGCAATTTGAAACTGTGGATGCTCATCGTGCTGCAGTTTATGCATTCTGTGTGAATATCCCAAGCACTCTCATGAAGAAGTTAATAATGTGTATGCCAGAATGAATTTTCGAAGTAAGTCGCAAATATGGAGGAAATACTGAGAATTAAATTGTCTTTGTGACTTATTTGTTCTGTATTTGCTATTTTTATTTGCATGGTCTTATCTTTATGACCAAACAAAAAATACTTTTTCAATGTTTGTTTAAATTAATCAATTAAAAGCTTAAAATTTTGTTTGTTGATAAACTAGACTTTTTAATTAAATTTAAATGTTCCGCAAATATATTTGGATTAAAGTTACAGTATTTTAACAATATTAACTACAAACAAGGCCACAATGTGCTAACCGTATTCGGAAATTAAAAACATCTCTATAACACACTAAAACATACACATAATGTACACACTCAATTAAGCTAGAGAATTGAATCATCCTTGATAATGGATAAAGGTATAGCCGAAAGCGGTCGGAACTATAAAACATTTGGACAGTTTTTACACACTTTTTGTCAAGAAAAGAAAGGTCTTGTTCGGACACAAGAAAAATTAAATAAAAAGCTTAACCATAGTATCTTGCCTGCCGCTTTTGATGAAACATATATATATATATATATATATATATATATATATAGGTACATTTTATTTGGCATATTTCGTTCTATTATTTTACCACCAAATACCTGCATCGCCTGTAAACAAACATACACACATACACATACATATACATCCATATATATATATATATATATATATATATATATGTATATGTATGCACATTCTTATATATTCTTATATATATATTTATTTATTATACATTCTTATATATATATTTATTTATTTATTTCATTATGAATAGTTGTAAATATATATAGATACATAATTATTAGCTACTTATATATGTAAGTATATATATGTATTTATATAATCTATGCGATATTCGTAAGTGCAAATTAAAATTTGTTAATGCATTCTTAAGTGGTCCTTTCGATATAATGTTAAATATTTTGTACATGAAATTCTATTTCTATTCAAACCAATACCAAAAATTTCTCGGCCTGACCCATTTCCAAAATTCTGACCCCATGTGCAAAGATTTGAAAACATTTCAGCACCTCTTCGTCAGTCGTATATGTCTCCCTCTCCCTCCTCTCTCTCCCTCCTTTCTCTCTCTCTCTCTACACACACACACACACACATATATATATATTGCATTAGCTTTAAAAGCAAATATATCAGCATTTGTAAATTTCTGCATAACATTTTTAACCTGTCGATCGATGATAACTTTTACAATGTTTTCATATTCTTTTATTTGATTGTCTTATCACTATATATATATATATATATATATATATATATATATATATATATATATATATATACAAGTATATAATTGGTATATACAGAATGAATTCCAATAAACAACAATTACTAATCTTAAAAGAGTGCTCAATACAAAGTAGAGCAAATGGATGTATGTATGTGTATCTATCGGTGTCTATGTGTATGTAGAGTGTATTCACATTTAACTGTGTGTGTGTATAAGTGTTGGTTTCCACATCTCCTTTTTTTTTCATAAAGGGCTGTAGAGATGTTCATGTCTCGACCCCCTTTTTGTGTGTGTGTGTGTGTGTGTGTGTGTGTGTGTGTGTGTGTGTGTGTGTGTGTGTCTAATTATGACTGGGTGCTTATGTATTATAATCTGATTGTGTTTTTGTTGTTTTGCGCGTGAGTTTAAGACCAAATTCACACACTTTAAAATAAAAAAGGAAAAGAAGAGGAAAAGAAAGAAATATATATACATGTATTGTCAAATGACCGGATATATTGTAGCGTCTTGTCGAACGTAATTTCAATGAAGAAATGAATTGAATAAACATATATATTTTTTTCTTTTCTCAATAATTTTGTAGTTTTTAAACTTAATAGTGATTAAACTTGGATTTTAAAATTGCCAGTTTTTAATTTTAATATTAAATTTTATCATATAATTTTATAATTATTGGTTCGTATAAATTATTTTTAATATTACACGTATTTAAAGATCTGAATAGATATTATAACATGATTTTGTTGCCAAGCTTTTGAATCTTTCTATACTTCGTTTTTGATTGGTTATTCTAGCTTTTGTAACAATGTTTCCCCCTAGTGTAGGATCGTTAATCTGAAACTTTTAAAACCATTTATTTTATTGTCAACATCATCACTTGATAAGACACAGAGTGTGTTGAAACAAAATGGCTATTTTTGTAGTGATTTTATAACATACTTATGTTATAATTTTTTTTTATAAAAAATAATTATATATATATATATATATATATGTCTTTGTGTGTGTATTTATATATATATATATATATATATATATATATATATATATATATATATATATATATATAAATTACGCAAGAATGAAAATAACACTGAAATCTCATTTTAACACATTTTTACCAAAATAACAGAAAAAATGTTGAAATATCTTGAAAGAGTAAATTTATTCAATAAAATCGCCATTGCTTTCAACCACGGCCTCCAGATAACTTCGCAATCACCTGCAAATCTTCTGGACGCACTCCTTTTTTAAGTTGGTAAATGCTGCCATAATCTTTGCCTTCATTTCACTTTGGTGTTAGAAAGAGTTTTATTAGTCTCGCGCTCAACTTCACCCCACACATAGTAATGAAGTGAGTTGCAGTCTAGGGAGTTAGGTGTCCAGATGTAATGAGTGATGTGGTCGCAGGAATTGTCTGGCAGCCATGAATGGATTATCCTGCGTGTGTGGCATAGTGTAAAGCACTATTGCCAGACATACAAGCCACCCTCGTGACCCATTCGCATA